ATCTATATTTAATTTGTGTGAAGATCTGCACATTTGTCTGTTTCTGTTTAATCTTCTCCCTATCTTTTCGCTTACATTCCTCCCTTTTTCTGCTTGCTTTTGAAGCACTTCCGGCTATCCCTGTTAACGTTGCGTAACCAGTGTTTCTAAAAAAGGGAGGAAATATAGGTTTGCGTTACGCGTTGAAGACCCTTGCGAAATGCCCCCTCGCAGGGGATTTAACGATATTTTTCAACCGAGTTTTACTTTACATAATAATTGGTAAGGTTGAAATATACATACGCATTAGAACGAAACAAAATGCAAGGCCAATATTTTTGTTTTTATAATATTCATGACTTTTAAATTATTCTCTGCAATAAAGATTTTATATATGTGTGTATATTTTTTTTTATAAAATATGTATTATAATAATTCCATTTAAAAAAAATGAAAAAACATTTCTTTTTTCTACAATCTTTATCGATCCTTTTATAATTTTTAAAAAATTGTATATCAGACATATCACATATGCCATTTCATTTCACGAAAATGATGTTTAAAAAAAAATTGGTGGATACTTAAGTGAATTTAGGTCAAATTACCTATCGTAATGTAATTCGTTTTAATAATTTTTCTCAACGAAAATTCATTTCATCATTTTTAATTTTCTTTAATTTCTAAAATATTAAATTTTTCATATCATAATTCTAATTAATATTCAATATTTTTACGTATGATGACAATTTATCGTTCATAACGTTTTAACGTATAAAAATCTAATGCATTATCCACACTTTCCGCAAACTTCATTTGCATTTTTCCATTTGCCGACAATACTGACAGAAAAACATACACACAGCGTGTCCTCTTTTCTAATTCCATAAAACGTGGTATTTGTATAATTTTGTTTACATAATTTCTCGTTATTACATCATTTTTACTTAAAATGCTTAGATCTCTGAAAACTCACTTAACTCCAATAATACAATTCTTCACGACGCGGATAATCGTCATTAAAAAAAATCAAATATCATCAATATCATACATCCGCAATTACGTACTTAACGACGTTCAAATTTCGTTCCATTCCTCTTAATCCGATTTCCCACTTCGATTCGTACGAACGACTTTAAAGTATCAATTTGGACAAATTGAAAAAAGCAGGGAAGAGGAAGAGATTTTCATTATCCTTGGGCGTGGAACGATCGTGATTCCGTGATCTCCTCTTTTAAAACTCCTTAACATGCTAATACTTTCAATATCTGCAGATACGTTTCCTCTCTCCTTTCTCCTAATTTTTCCTCTCCGTTCCTCTTTTTCTCTCCATTTGGTTAAAAGAAAACAGCCGGCTCTCTCAACACCTCTCCTCAAGGAGGAGAGAGAGCCGATCCAATTTACCAACTCGTTCAACTTGACACTTTTAATTTCCACGCACCTTCGATTCTGACGCGAATCCTGTTTCAGATTTTTAAGACCGTCCTCGATAGGCCAGGCCTGGTGATTCCTCGCCAAGTCTCGAGGTGTGCTCGCCAAATTGAACCTTTTTTTTCCCCTCTTTTCCTCTCTGTCTCTCTCCTCTCCCCCTTTTTTTTCTCGTTCCTCCAGATTACACGGATGCCTGTTCCGTTCCGCGCCAGGCGCCGAATTGCCTCGCAATGGCTACACGGGCTCCTCTTGGCCCCTTTTTTCTTCTTATTCTGTTTTGCGATTTTCCGTCCACGGTTAACGTGGAACAATCGAAACAAACGATTTCCGGACTCCTCTCTGTCGGAACGTGGCAATCCCGCGACGAAAATTCCGTTTTTTTCCACGAATAGAGAACACATCTCACAAAGGATTATCTTGGAACAGTGTTAATTCGAGTTACTGATCAAAGTCGAAATATGATTTCTTATTTTGTGGAAAAACTAATAAATAGGTAACTATTTTTGATGATGACTTCATTGTAAAAGTTGATTTTAAAGTTCTATCCTTTTGGTTAATAAGTAAATTGATCAATCTATTAGAAAGCTCTCCAAATTGGCTATTAGTCAATTTTACCCTGGAAACTTGGCTAGAGATGATCTACATTGAAATTTGCATCTTGGTTGTTGGTTTTTGCGATCACGTTGGTTTTGGTGGATCTTCTCTTCGAGTTGACCAGTCATCAATCGTTCCACGAGTCTTCTTCTAATATAACTTCATAGTCGACGTGTGGAATTTCGGCAACAGCGAGGGATTTCGCTTGGCTTCGCTCTAGATCGCTTTGAGCCTCCTCAAAGCTCGCTATTTCCACGGTTTTCCTTCATAACTTCCTTTATAATGTTTCTTAGGCCAGTGGACTAAGGGATAAAAGAAATGAGTTTCTAGGCTTTGAAATTGTCGACTATAATTCCCCTCGATGGCATCGTGATCATCGCAAACTTTTCATAAAAGAGCAGGCTACCTTCTCTTCTGTCAACGTTTGACGTTGTCCTTCATTTTTCTTTTCATTAATACATAAAATCCAATTACTTTTCTTGTATCAAATATGCTAAGATTTATTATTATTCTGTTTTAAAACGAAACAATTAGCTATCTATTTTCATCTAATCTGTCATTCCTATATACTTTTTAACTTTAAAAAGTTGTGAAAATTAACGCAAAATATCTTAAAAGAATCTTATTCTTCTTTCTCAAAGATTATTTACCTATCTTTCCTATCTAAAATTCTTTCAATAATTACCATTTACACTTATACTTTGTTATTTAATAAGCAACAATGTTTCAAAATCAAAACAGAGAACGTTTATACATATATTGGATATGTAGTTAATAGTCACGTGGCGCTAGTGTCGCGTCACAAGCCATAATGCTATATAACCTATTAATTATTATCACAATAAGATTAATTGTTTCGATATTAATCTTTTCTCATCATTTCTTCACGCATATCTCGATGCACGCCAATTTCCAAAATTCATTAATCTCTCGTGCTCTCGACAGCGTTTCCAAATATTTTCTTAATCATGTCGTAGCTACTTTATCGCGGAATCGTTTTTAGATAGTACAAGTGTTGTTGCACGGAAACCGATTAACCCACATAGCAACGGAGGGAAGCCTGTTTCAGTTTGAAAGCTGCGTTCTCGTTTACAGTCGCTTTGCGGAGTAAATCGTCGATGCATCGGCGTGGCCGTATTTTCTACATAGAAATCCTTCAAGCCGTTTGCGAATAAACACTTTAGGGCGAGCACGAAATTACGGCACGTAATTTTACACCACTACACCCCGCTAGCCACCAATTTAAGGACGCTTGACTTATTGTCACTTTTCGTGGCAAACGACCGTAACGCAATTAAATTCGTGACAATCAACTGTGTCAAGTAAGTGTTTGATGTTCCTTTGAAAATGTTAACTATGTATTGTGTTTGCTACTCGGTTCGACGTGTAATCATTTGAATCCGTATAATGTAAGCGTTGGCGCGCTTATTTTGCAATAAAAATTTTATTTTTCTATTCAGGCTTTTTTCATATTTTAATCATCGTCAATCAAAGAGCGTTCGGATCATTTTTTACCCATATTTGAATTGTAAATACTATTTTTTAAACAGGAAGATAAGATTGAGATCGAAAGGTAATTGTATTTTGGATTGGAAAAGCTCTGAATAATTGTCATTTTTATATTATATTAATGATTCAAGTAATGATTTTTATATCCTTTGTACAAATTTTGGATCCTTTTTGTACAAACATCTATTTCTATTTAATTAATGGAAATTTTATTGTTCGAATAATATATCTATTCTATTTGAATATTTTATGTAAATAATTGTTAATGATTTTGCGATTTTAGATCTCCTATTACGTGATCCATTAATTGCAATTATGATCACGAAGGGCGTTCATTTCTCATGCATTTTACAAAATTGTATTAACTATTATTAATCACGCGTATTTAATTATATAAACAATAGTAATTAGTTTGAAATTATCTGTTAATTATATTTCATCTATTTCTATCGACATTTGATGAATTTGAAAGAAGATAAACAGTAGAACGATGTAAAGTGTAAATGTAAGAAATAATTTTAAAAATGAAAGAAAATAATTGAATAGAAATTATATTGTAATTATTCTAATACGTTTAATTATCGACTTTAAAAGATTTTATTTTCAATTCAAATATTAAGATAATAGTGTTGTTATGTTGAAACAAATTAAATTCTTTTTGTTCTTTGTCATGGAAAAATAACTGTACGTTTTTATTGTTAAAAAATTAATTTAAACGAATCGATATTTTATTATTTCCCTTTAATATTATCGTAGATAATCGTATTATCTCAAATTCTTACTTCTTATTTCAATTTCAAATAAATCTTGTTCGTCACTATCTTAAGTATAATGTAGAACATACGAGAAAAATACGTATTATCTTTGAATTAAAATGTAAATTAATTCAAAGAATTACGCACCGAGTAAGAATTATTAGAGTTGTAAAACTTTAAAGGATAATATCTTAAGCATCTTTTATGAAAAGATTTTGGTACAGTATTAAAACGATAATATAAATATATATATTCTTAATCTTAACATTTTTAAAATGTAAATTTTTATTATATTCTAATTACTTATGAGACTTTTTTCCATATTTTTACAGGATCAAAATAAAAGAATATTCATAATGAAAGTGTAATAAATAAAAATAAGTGAAAATAATTTATTTAAAATTACAGATGCATGCAGAGGAAATTTCAAGCAATCGTTACATTTATTATTGTTTAACTTGTAGATTCATCGAGAAAATATATCATATCATATATTACATGTAACCTAAATTTATTATGCTTCTAAAAATAAACATAATACATTGATCTGGATATAATTATTGTTATTTATTTCTTTATGAAATACAATTTATTCCTATGATTATTACTAAGACAAATATTTATAATTATATCACATAATGATATTATAAATAAAATAATATATTATAATAATAATACGTACAATGAAATTCAGAATATTATTATTTATGAGATATCTTTTGCATTATTTTTCAGATATCAGACAATACGATGCCTGATGATGATAAGCGACCAATCAGATCGTGGAACATTCATTTACAGGTAAAATATTTATATTTTGATGTGCATAGTTTAATTGCTGTTAAATAAACGTAGAAAGAAAATTTTTCCAAAATATTTTCTTTTTTTTTTTTTTTGCAAGAAAACTAATATACGTGTTTTAATTACTTTCAATTATAAAAAAGCATAATTTTTTAAAATATATTTATCAAATATACAACATGAATTAACAACAATTATTTGATTTTAATACATATACAATTTACACGTAATATAATTATAATATACCTTACATTGAATTATTATAATTATAATAATATGTTAATACTATTCATGAAACTTTTGAAAAATAGATTCAAAACGAACACAAAAATCGAAGTTTATTTATTATTAAATTATAAATAATTGAAGTTTGCATTAGAAGAAACGAAATAACTTTGTCTCTTCTCATTCTATCTCCATCTCGCTTCATTCATCGCAAACTTAATAAATAAGCCTGAACAGATATTTGTGTACGCCACTTTTTGTATTTGTTTTCGCCTCTAAAATACAAAGACGGATACATTAATTACACACAAAAATTAATCACAATTAATTTTAATTTTAGAAGAATAATTAATCGCAGAAAGGTTACTAGCATTGTAATCTAATTACAATAGCTTTCAATGAGACGATAATTACATCTATCTAATACAACATCCATATGTGCAATAGCGTTAAACAAATAACAATTAAAATTTATCGAATTTACCTCCTGATTTAATATATCATGTGCAAACTTTCACTAGTTCTCTTGGTTACCACTAAAAACACGTGCAGCGTGTACCCCCTATATGCTCATAACCCCATTACTTGGTTTCGCATATCCGCAATCTAATTACTATATCAACAGTTAAATTTCAATTCATCGATAGCAAATTAACCTTTGCTCCACGCGAGGAAGATAAAATCTCCTCCTAAAAGTATTGTCATTTCCATCGATTTTCGAAAATCGTTTGTATTTAAGATTTAAAAAATAAAATTTTTTTTTTTTTATCAGAAAGAAATCATTTTATAAAAATGAAAATACTACTAAAATTTTAAATTGAATTCATGTTATAGAAATAAACTGTTATCGTCATTTAAATTAATCCTGCAATATTGCATCAGAGTTTTTTTGTTATTCCAATAAAATACTCGTTTACCGTGGATAAAAATATCTTTTAATTTTGACCGCGTAATTATATAACTTGAAAATAAATATTTGAATAGATCAATAAATTTTTTTCCAAATTTTATACATGGCATTAATACACAAAAAATCGTTAAACTTTGAATACTCCTAATATACCATTGCAAGTGGCAATAAACTTAACACTAAAATTAACTTGCAATATGTATTTAAATTACACGGATGAATTGTATGAAAATATTATTATGAAAGTAATTAGATATGCGTAATCGTGTTTCTGAACAAAAATTATTACTATAATCCTGCCAGAAGTGCAGGCAACACGTTTCTTGCAATTAATCCGACTTATTTGTTAAACATTCTTGAAACTATTTATTTCCTTCGAAATATATTTTCTCCAAATCCCTTTCCTCGATATGTAAATTCTACAAATTCCAACGGGTTTTCTACCTCGACCACGGATGTTAACACACATACAAACACGTGATCTCGCGTATTTTTTTCAAATTTCAACACACAGCAACTCCTCAAAGAATCGGCTCGTTTGAAAGATATTTTTCCTCCCGGATTGCGGGATCCTTTCGAACGGATAAAAAAGAGAAGGAAAAAGAATAAAAAAGGACATCCAGACATTTAATCGAATCTTTCCCGTGAAGCGGGCAACGAATCTACGTTTAATCAACGCCTTTTAAGCGACCTATAGATAAGACCTCGTAATTAGTTATAGACGTTACTTTGAAGCGGCGCCGATTCACCCCGTTCATCCCTTACGAGATTTTAACCCGGCACGGCGCTAACGTTTGCACGTAATCCGATTTTCCGGATGGTGTACAGGCTGTCTCTCGCGAAAAGCTGCCTCCACCCGCCCGAAGACTGCGGTGAGCCTTGTCATCGCTTAAAAAATATAACGTGTTTCGATTTCTCTCTCTCTCTCTCTCTTTCTCTCTTTGTTTGCCTTTTATCTCCTCTCGTTCTTCTTATTATTCAATATAATGAAAAATACATATGGGTAACCTGTTTTCTTTTTCTTCCTGGTTGCCTCTTCATTTTTCTTTCTTTCTCTTTAACTGCCTCTTCTATTTTCTCTATTATTATTATTATTATTCGAAAATTTGCTATCAGGATACGATATAGCAGCAGTGAATATACAGTAAATATAGCTGCGATAATATATATTTCTCTCTCATTTCTGTCTCTCGATCCTTCTCCCTCTGGAAATTCATCAAAGTAGGGTGGCAATAGGTACGGTAGATACGAAATCGGTTGGATAGATGTGGATATTCTCGAGGAACTCGTCGAAGTCATGAGCAGAAAAACCTTTGAAATATTAGGTTGGCGGGGAAGTAATTTCGTTTTCGGCATATGTAAAATGGAAGACGTTTTTCATCGGTCTTTTTATTTGGGTATGAAGGAAGAACAATTGTAGATAGTGGAATCTCTTGCTATACGGGGTGTTCATTCTATATATGCACGATTTTCTTATTATTTGTGGCCGTGTGTAAGTAGGAAAAACGTTATTCAAACGAAATTTATTTGTATCAAGTGCACAAAAGAAAAAAAAGGATAATAATAATTTGTTTTTTTTTTTTTATATTAACTGAAAATAATGTTTTTCTTATTGTGTGTAGAATATGTATAGTAATAATTGTTAACCAAATACAATATTTTTTAAAAAATAATTTATTTTTACTATTAAAAACAATTCTATTCCAATATTTTTTCAATATTTTTTTTTCTTTTATATTATAAATCGGTTTAATAAATTGATTTCGTTAAATGCAAAAGGTATTCAATCTGATTACCTTCGTTGCCGTGTTATATATTAGAAACTTGGGCAAAGAAAACAGAGGTGATTCGAGCGTGTTTTTCTCATAAAAGATTTGCGAAATAAGGTGCTTTGATTGTCACGAATTACGGTTACGTTTCTGGTAGGTTTTTTTACATTTTAATGTTCCTTTGCGTGCTTGTTAGGACCGACATAGAATAACGAGGGGCGTTTTTTAGCTCCGGATAAATTCAGAACAGCTGCGGTTCTTAGTTTGTTTGCTCATTTTGGATTAAAGAATCTGCTAGAACTTATACTCGGTGTACGTAAAATTTTCTTACTATTGAGCATTTATTTTTTACATTTACATATACTTTCTTTTCTTCTTTTATTTTTTATTATACGAATATATTTTGGGAGAAAAAAGCATGATTACTTTTATCGCTATAAAAATTCCTCGAAAGTCTTTGTCATTTAACTTTTCAATCGACATCTTTCCTTCTCTTTCTTCTCTTCGATTTTTTTTATAACGAAGTTACTGCTTTTATATATATATATATATATATTATTTTTTTATTGAATATTCATATTTTCTATTGTTGCAAAATCGTAGAATAAATTGTTATCTTTCTCATCACGAAACATTAATTTGTCGTTTCCTCTAAAATAGTAAAATTTAAAATTATTGTTGCAGTAAGAGATTTATATCTAAATGAAGTAACGATAGTTACGAATTCGGTTAATCAACATTAATTAAATATTCATCCGTATAAATGATTAATATGATGATATAAATTTATATGGAGCAAGTTTTAGTGTAATTTATCTTATCGAAAAATTATTCGATTTATTTGATCGAGACAATTCTAAAATCACGTTTGTTAGTTAAAGAGTGTTTTAAAGTTAATTTTTTTTCCGTTACTTTTAAACTGTAAAACATATTCATAAATTCTACGTTACGAAAAGATTTTACATTCCACAATTTTAATTTCGTATCTATTATAATAAATATATATGTTTAACAATTTTGCATATGATTTTAAAAAGGAAGAAATAACTTTTTAGTAATACTAAAATATGATTAAATGGAAAGGGAATAATACGATTAGGAAAAATCTTTTTCATTTACTAGAAGAGCTTATATGTATTTAAATATATAGTATTATCGCATAATTTCCATTTGGATTAATAAAGAGAGGCGAGACTATTTAAATAAAGGGATTAGTTGGATTTTTAACTTTTAAAGATTAAATATTTTTATCCGTGTTATTACAAATTGTTTTAAAAGTTTGAATAATATTCTCGATATAACTTCTGTCCAAATTGAATAGAGTTACTCTCATTAATAATTTTGGAAACTGTATTATCTCTGAATTTATTATTTTACATAAGAAACAATTTTATAAATACACGAATAATCACAACAATTATATTTATTTGTTTGAATGATACATCTTTCATCATATTGTATTAATGTGAAAGAGAAATACCTTGTTTAAAATTTACAAGAAAGCATAAATTTGTTATAGTGCGTTCTTCTGTTTCTGATAATTTTTCCATGAAGTGTATCATTATTTTGTTTAAAAAAATGATGATACATCCGTACGTATAAATATTATTATACAAGAATTTATTTGAAAATTTGATTAGAGATTAAATTATATTTTTACATATCATTTTTATTTTTGTGTAATAATCGTATAATACGTGTTTTCAGTCACGTAACTTCATCGAATGTAGAAAAATTATAAAACGTATTATCAAGCGTGTTATTATTATTTTTAAAATTACATCGTAAATTATAATAGCAATGATTTTATTTATTTATCTTTTTTTTTTGTCGTATTATCACATTCCATTATCACAGATGCAATCAGTTATTATTTTCAAAAATTCTCAATTGAAATTTCCCTTTGTTTCGAGCATTTCTCATTTTACATTTACGTTTCGTTACATTTTACATTTTTCCATGAATAATCATGAAAGTTTGTAATAACGTGAAATCTCGCACATGCTTTTTTTTTTTTTTTCGATATTCGCAAACGTACCATTGTGGTCGTCCAATTCTGTACCACTTCATTTAACATGGTTGCAGGCCGATCGATA